TGCGCTGCCCTTTTAGACAATAGACACATCAACCTTGAGCTTCTTGAGGCATTCTCGGATCTGCTGGGGTCAGTTGGTTGGTGGTTAGGGTCAGTTGGGTGGTTTGCCTGTAATTTCTCAGTCAGAGGAGTAGTTCACCCCCAAAGCCAACTGTGCGAGCCTTGTAACTTTGAGCCACCCGAAGTGATTGTTTTAGCCCTAGATAGCCCTAGCCAGCCGGGTCAAACTCTCTGCAAAAACCCAGGATCTTCGGTTGGACTTCCGTTTCACTTCCAAAGTGGGGGCGCAACAGCCACTGACAGCCACACTTCATGTCTGTCCTTTTGAATACTTTTGAATGGAGGGGGTCAGTTCACCTACAAAGGGGGTATCCCCTCTATTCAACCAACCAGCGAAAAAGGCCATTGAGGACAGCTGACAGCTGCAGCCCTTTGCCTCTTTTCATCTCTTTTCCTAACCAACGAGATGACCCTCCTGCTCGAACTCTCTGCGAGTGACCCGGGCCGAGACTCGGCATCTCGCCAACCTGGGCCAGCTCATCTTCTGCTTCGTTCTGATGTATGATGAACGCATTGAACGCTTCAATGTCTTTCAGAATGTCTTTCAGTCATCTAAGCAACATCCTTGCACATGTTTCGAATCGGCCAAGGCCGCTTCTGCGATGGGCATGGCCATTCTAGACTCACAGCGAAACATGATTTTGAGAGTTCCTGACTGTATATACATGATTTTTCACGTGACCGTGAGAGGGGACATGTTCCTTGTCGCTAAAGGACATTCAGGAAAGCAGTATACTGTTCCCTGTATCCCAAAGGGTGACAGGATGAAACACGCATCACGGTGGCTTTGATCCTGTCGACCCCTCAAACAAATCAAAAATAATCAAACCGTGAATTCAAAAACATCTTCCAATAATTCCCAAGCATCTCTAGGTAAGGTAGCAAGAGCTGATGCGGATTGCCCATTATGCCCATTGCACAGCATGTAGAGAAGAATTTGATGATTTGACAGCCCAGCATATCAAGCGCATGCACACACACACGCACACATGCACACGTGTGCACACTGATGCACACGTATGCACACTGATGCACACATATGCACACTGCCGGTTGAGGGCCTGGCCAGAGCTTCTCAAATCAACCTCCCGGTCTTGGGCCCAGCGTCGATGGTGTTGAAACCCCGGAACCCAGGGGACATGAGGGCACCGAAGGGCAGCGAAGGGCACCGAAGGGCACCGGAACCCAACAAAGATCCAAAAGAAAATCCAAGGGGAACTTGTCAGAACTTGTCAGACACTTGCCTGTCTTGGCTCCCCACCATCCACCATTTAATTGAGACCTTCGGCTCTCGATAATGCCCAAGAATCCGCCTGACGACCTGCCCAAAGAACGGAACATCGACGCAAAACACATATTATCCTTCCAACAATCATGGAAGTGAAAGATGGCGACGGGAAGGCACTTCCATATTTGTTGCAGCGAGGGTCGAATTATTGAACACCCTTGAACTCTGCGCCCTTTTCGCAGTAGCTTACCTTTTTTTTGTGTGTAAAAAAGCCAAGGTTTTGGAAGGCACCACTCTGCCACGACATCACACGACCCATGTGGTTCCCATGCTAAGCCACCGGGTGTCGTGGACGGCCACCACGTCTCTCTGGCGTCGTGCTGGGCGGCTCGCGCGGATCGGCCGACCACCTGAGGCGACGAGCTGATCCGAAGGGTTGGAGCCCCACCCGGGGTGGTTTGGGGTGTCGTTGGACAAAAAGGAAGATTCTTCTGACCCCCCAAAGACATCCCGTCTTGAGGGTGTAATTATTGGCAGGTGTCTGATTGGATGTTCTCGGGATGTAAACATTCAGCATAATTCTACAATATATATATATATATGTCTATGTATGATTATGTATGCATATATATATATATATGCATACTTGAGGCCAAGGGGGGGGCGAAAGCTAGCGCTCCAGAATGGGAAAGTGGAGGGCAGCGAGGTAGGAAAAAACACGGCGCTCTTTTTGGAGGCAGGGGTGAAGAGTCCTTTATATGTGGCTCTTTGCCCGGATCCTCCTGCGAGAGAAGAGAGAGAAGAGAGACGGAAAGACGAGAGACAGAGAGGAGAGAGAGAGAGAGAGGAGAGAGAGATGAGAGAGATGAGAAAGAGATGAGAGAGATGAGAGAGATGAGAGAGACAGTGAGACAGTGAGACAGTGAGAGAGTGAGAGTGAGAGTGAGCGAGTGCGGCCGCAAGATACGCAACGCTAACCGCATGCCAAAGAGCGACGACAGGACGGAGTCGAACTTGCGCTTCGCTAGCTTTCGTGATATGGCATAGTCTTGCATGGGCTCTTGGGTAGTTATGCCACCTATTGCCACCTACTCAACTGGACGTCACAGCTGAAACTCTCACCAGCATGCTAAAAGCTGCTCTTTTGGTGCAGCTTCTGCATTCTTATGCTTGTTCTATCTTTGCTAGGAATCTTTGTTTGGATACACTGCGACGGTACATAGAAAGGTTGATCTGAAACACGAGCCAAAACGACCCAAGCACTTCTTCAAACCTCCAAAACTGCTCCCTGATGTCAACATCTCATAGATCCAAGGCAGGCACTGGCTGGAAGATCTCACTCCTCCACGTTGCCAAATGTTGCGTGGCTGCGACGACTTGGGATGCGACGACTTGGCACACGCGGTGACACCCATTTTACTGAGGCAAACCAACCTGGTGTGAAACACAAAGTTGCAGGCAACGCAGCATTAGAGACATCGACTAGAGTCGGCTACAGGCGTCCTACTCTGCAACTCTACACGAGTTGAGAACATCAAATCAAAACCCCCTTTCGCCCTGGTAGGTTGACCTCCCCCGTCGTCGATTCTCTTATAGGAGAAACACATGGTTGTCCCCCGGCGCCATGTGGTTCATGTCTGGCTTTTCCTCGTCCATCTGCTGAGACGACTTCCTTCTGCTTCGATGGTCCGATCTGCTTCGTTGGTTTCCGAGGCTTGGCCCAGTGGAAACCCCAACAACTGCATGGAACAGAACATGACATGAAGAGGGTATATGAAGGTGCTGTTGGGGGCAGGACTTCTTGATGGTGTCATGCCAATCCAAAGAGGCTTCACTACGACTTTGGCTGTTTCTTGCAAGCATTGGAATCGACACACACTGGGAACACACTCATCACTCACACTCACACCCGCTCCTTCGGTCTCAGGGGAACGTCTTGATACCTTGACAAGGCCGTGCATGCCATAAGCGCTTGGTAGTTTAAGACATGTGAGGTATACGTCTTAAACAAACACTGGATAACCATGGATATCGCGTGAGTGAGCTGCCTGTGGTCTGTTGCTTAAGGGGCTCCTGAAGGAATCACTTCAAGCAAACGTCCAAAACCATCCAAAACCAAACACCTGTCACCGTCACAGGCAACATGTGCCAGAAAGCACTCAGTTCAGTTAGGACGGCTGGGGCTGAAGCTGATGTCTTTGTGAGACAACCGTGATGCAGCCCAAAAAAGCGCCTTCTCCCTGTAAACCCTCACTGAGAGTTCCACGGAAAAGGCGTCCCGCGACAAGCAGGGGGTGGAGGAGGATCTGGGCGGAGTGACTGGAGCCTGCCGGCTATCCCTGGCGTCGTGGGGCGAGCGGCCGCTCTCGCGCTTCAGCGCGTGGCGAGCGCTTGGCCAGGACACCGAGTTCGGACAAAGGAGAGTCCAAGCCAACCGCCAAGCTTTGACAAACTTGCAAATGCACTCATTTGAGATGTAAAGACAACAAATAAATGCGTGTTCTGACAGCTCGGATTGCCCAAGATCGATTGGTAACAATTGCCCAAGAGCCTTGAACATCAGAGTTTCTCATTCGCATGCGTCGCATGTGTCGCGGAAGAACAAGGGTTCTTCATCGTCGTGAGGGGCCAAAGATGGAAAGTCATAAACCTCCTGGGACCAACGCAATGCTGCAGTGTACAACTCGCAAAGCACCATCTGTCGTCGATGTGGCAGACAGCGGCGCTGACAGATCGATGTGGCACCCACAAGCGCGTGATGCTTATGTGGCCTGCGTACCGTGACATTCTCATCAAATCCCGCAGCTTTTGATACTATATAACAAACACCGCTGAGAAACCAGGAGCTCCTACCAACAGCGCTGAGAAAATGTTGAAAGCTCAAGTTGAGTTCCTTTTGTATTCCTTTCATTCGAGAGTTGTTAGGCAGTTCCTGAACTCAAACATCCCACTCCATCCCATTCCCCAAAGTGGTTCTCTACCATCCAAGGGGAGGGGCACAGCTCGGCGCCGCCGCGCCACTCCTCAGCGGCCAAAACCCTCCACTCCGCTCATCGCTGCCTGCCTCCAAGGAGTATGGCCTCGGCCTCGGACAAATCGGACAAAGAAACAGCACGGAAGATCTCTTCCAGTCGGACTTAGTGCAGGGCTCACCTTGGAAGAGGTGATGGAGTGATTGAGAGTGGGCCACTTGTGGTTTGGGACCATCAACGCTGATTTGGGATGTCAACATGGGGGTCTTCTACCACGGCCTGGGTTTGGAGGGAAAGCAATTTGCGAACACTTGGGCGTCACCTTTCACTAGGACATCATGGAAGAGATCCAGGGAGAACATGGGAGGACACAGCGACTTACAACTAGAGGTCTCAGGACCTAATCTAGAATCTTGATTAGTAATAACCCTGACAATCCAAAAGGAATAGCCAAGAAGGGATCGTGTGGGCGCGCTCGTCGTGGACGGACCGCAAGTTCGCGCATCCAAAAGGTGGGTTCTTCATCAAGATTCCACATTAAGGTCCAGACTTCATGAAGAACCCACCAGTCCTGTCGCAGCGACCCAAGCGACCCAAGCGATGTCCAGCTCGTCCAAGGGCGCCACCGAACAGTCCGCCACCTTTCAGCGAGCCGAGTTCGTTTTATGGACGAACAAACGAATGCTCTATCACTTCTTGTCCAGGTGCATGAGAGCATGAGAACGGAGTTTGACAAGCCACGAAAGAAGCGAATGGATGTTGTCGCAGGGAACTGAAGGGAATAAAGATCAACGAAGCGATCTGAAGTGCGGACATGAGATATCTGATCGACCACGCAACCCACAAGAGAGATGCACTTGCTCACATCGTGCCGCTTGTGCTCAGCTCCTTTTTACCCGAGAGGCCGTCTGTCTCCATGGCCTGAGCCTTCAGGAAACGGGCGACGAGCTCAGCAAAGCGCTCTGGATCTTCTTCATGAGCAATATGCCCACAGCCCTCACACTGGGGGTGAGTCAGTCATGCTGAGGTGATCGGGGTGTCGAACCATGGGTGAGTCCTGTGGTTGAACCGAAAGCATTTCAAACCTGACGGAAACCCGAAGAAGAACAATTCCTCGGACTTGTTACAGAACGCTGAATTGTGAAGTGAGTTTTGATCCAAAAACTTGCACCATTGAACTTGAACAGCACTCGTTGACTTGAACATTCAAATTCCTGTCTCCAGTGTTTATCAATTGTTTAGATACCAAAGTCTTAGGTCATGACGCTTGTCAATGTAAAATCCTCATGACTTAGCCACAAGAACTTTGATGTATTTTTTCACAACCCCTTTGTCATTTCACCCTAACCATAAGACATAGGACTTTAAGATATCTATTAAAGAAACATCCTCTTTCCGCGGCCTCGATGAGCTCCAAATCGCACTGCAAAAGCTTTTGGAGGAACTTGCTTCGACCGACAGGAACCACTTTGTCCTGCGAGGCTGGCTTCAGGGGCACGAACGCTCCGCACGTGCGGTGCCGCTGGTGCTGTGCAAGCTGGACTTGCCAGCTCTGGAGAATGACCCCGCCTCACTGTCCTCCAAAGGGATGTGTGTGTACTTACGACTTCCACGGGTTTGTTGGTTCAAACCGCGTGGGCACCTTACGACTTCTTCGGTGTCGAACCATGATCGAACCATGCCTCCCTGGCGAAAACGCGCTCCGCGCCCGTTGGTCCGCCCGTTCGCCCCGTCGCAGTTCCCGAGGACGTCCAAAGCAACCCGATTCGTCGTCGGACCGGAGCTGCTTCGCTTTGAGATAGCTTATACCATCAATGGCACGAAAACAAAAATACCAGAACATGGTGCCGTGGTCCTGATCTCCGGTGACGATCAGCACTCGAAGATTGCCCTCCTAAGGCTGTGTGTGTTTGTGTGTCTCGCAGGAAGCCAAAACGGATGAGCCCGCTGGAAGCGAAGCGAAAGACGCGGATCTAAGCAGATAACAAAACTACAAGCGTCTCAGATCTATAGCTTTGAAGCTCATTGAAGCTCTACCACTCGTGCTGAGACCGGAGTCACCCCCCACTTTGTCTGGCACCCTTGTCAGTGCTTGCCGAGCCACCATGGATGCCTGGCGTTTCGAACGTCTGGCACGATCAACCCGTTGCAGGGTTGCGTCATCACGCGGGTTGAAAAGACGTGTTTGATGGAACACAAACATGACCCAGCACCTGACCAATTCGAACAACAAATCTGTGCGCACTCTTTGGTGTGATTTCTTGCTGGTGCACGATGTCTTCCATCCGGTGTGTAGTAACAAATACTTCCGAGCTGCGGGGGCGGCGCTGCAGGTAACATGCATGCATTTGAAGCGAACAGATGTGATGAAAAGGGTCCAAGGGTCATAACATAACACTAACACAAACAATCCTCTTGTTGGTCACATCATTCATGCCATGCCATGCATGCAACATCGTCTGCAACATCGTGTGCAACATCGTTTGCTTCTTGGACCCAGTTCTGACCGTGTGAACACGGGTCCCACGGGAGGCCCAGCGCACAACCCCTCCTCGATCAACTCGTGCAAGACCAGCGCATCCTGTCACTGTGAACGATTTGGCGGACGCCCCAAGGCATTGGACAAAACAAACACCATCCTCATGTCCCTTGGAACAATCCCTATAAGGCCCTAGCTTCCAAAAAGAAAAGAAACACCTACAACGTCACTGACCAAAATGGCCGCCGGCCCCTTTCATCCCCTATTCTGTGAATTCTGGGGGTGCTGAAGAAACCGGCATCTCATGTCCTCTCCCTCGAGGCCCTCGAGCCTCCATGGTGATCAGCCGCGCCGTCACGAAATTGGACAAACCGTAGGCCCAGCGCACTGAAAGGCTGGGCCAGCCTAGATGGATTGAGCGGAGCGAAGATTCTAATCGAATGGATTTTATGAATGCATGGGTCTTGCACCCTCAACCCCTGGGAGTGGGTCGTTTTCAAGATTGTTGGCCTAGATCAACCACTGTGATTTCTTTGGCCGTCTCTGCGAACTTCTCCCCGTCTCTTGCTGCCCAAACTTGAATGTTAATTTGAAAACGTAGGGCGGAGTCTCGTTGACGGTTGACAACCATCCAAATCAATATGATTGCAGATTGCAAATAACCCACCTGGACTTGGACAGTGGAACGCTTCACCTACAGGTTAGATGCACAACCACGGGATGCACAACCACGGGTGTTTCCACACACCTTTACGCCCAATTGCACATGAAGAACTGCAAAAAATCCCACACAAAATCCCACCCAGTGAGCTCTAGGCGCTCCCATCGCCGCCGAGCGGCGGTACCGCAGCACCTGGCGCTTCAAAGCCTCGCCGTCCAGTTGCGAGGCCACCGAGAGGCCACGTTCCCAGAAGCGCCTCTGTTCTCGCGCATGAGAGAAGAGCGCACAGAGGAAAGCGTCGAGAGCAGGCGAGAGGAGGAGGAAAGTGCGCTTCAGTGACCTGCAAAAGCCATGGTTTTGTTTTAAGTCCATTTGGGTTTCAAAATAGGACAACTCAAGGGCTCCGCATGTAGACACTCTTGATTCATTAACCCCCCCAGATTGAAGAGGTATATTTCAATTCCAATGGAGGGGTGTAACCGTGGGGTGTATTCATCAAAGGTCGTCTACGTAGTCTGGGGAGAGGCGATGTGAAGGCCGGACGGCGATCGGAGTGGTGCTCCGGCGATCCGCCTGTTGTAGGTCAGCCCCGGCAGTTGAAGCACCAGGCGTAGAAAGGCCCTCTGGAAACGCAAAGACAGGGCTGTGACCTCAGAATGATCCGCCGTGGTCGATTCTACCAAAACATGTGCAATTCCGACCCCCAATGGATTCGTTTCCTCTTAAACCACGAGCAGGCGCTGGCCCAAGTTCATACAGTACACGAGTTCAAGGCAGGGATGGCTATCAACCTGCTTGCGATCAACAGAAGTACATTGCAATGCCTGCGCTCCAGCCATTGTTTCTATTCTCAAATCCGTTCCATGAACTCTTTTCAGGGTGGCCCTGCGACCGTTACTTTGAAAAGGTCTTTTTGTGTTTTTAATTACAGTATGTTGAAACACATCTCGCCGGAAAGAAAGAGGACGAAAGAGGTGTCACAAAAAGGGCCTATTCCTGGATTTCTGGTATTTCTCAAGAATTTAGAGCCTTTCACCTCGCATCTTCGAAGATGTCTTCCCATACTACTCAGTCACTGTTCGCGCCCAGCCAATGCCAGTTGAAGGCACTGCCCCAATCGTGGAGGACTTGAGGTGCTTGGTGGGGTTGGTGAGGAAGGCAGGGCTCTCAAGGATCAGATTCACCACAGTGCCCTGGTCGTTGGGCCAACAACCCGGTCGCTGCAGGAGGGTCCAGGGTGCACAAGTCCATGCAACAAACATTGCCAAGAGGGCCACTCCATCATCGAACATAAGGCACGCGTTCGGCATGTCGCTTTCTGCTTATCTTGATCTCTCGACGCCCTGGCATTTCAGACAAATCAATGCAAAAGATTGCAAAAGAAAGTCGCTTCGCTCCATCCTGGAAGTCGTCTCGCCGTCGCGGGAACACATCCGTCCATCCATCCTCCGTTGCGCTTCCCTGGCCTGGCGCGCCTGGCTCACAGCCACGGCCGCCGCCGTGATCGCCTGCCAGGCGCAGACCCAGAGACATGGATGGAGACCATGGATGGACTCTCAGTGGTGATGTGGAGGAGAACCTCTCTCCAACCATCACTGAAGTGGGACATGGTCTGTGAAAACAGAAACACCCAAACCCTGCAGTCGATGCGCAACGCATCCACTCGAAACATCCTGGAGAATCGAAATGAGCATGTGACATGGGAAACCACCCATGACCCCTTCTTTGTGCAACATTTGTCCTTTAACAACGTATTCGCGATGATTGTATCCCGTACTGACAGATTTCTGTCTGCTCGGTTACCACATGTTTTCATTGAGTGACCTCGTTGTAACCGTGCCGCAAAGACTTATAGAGAAGGCTGTGCGAGGAATCGGTTCCTGATCAAACACACACACACACACACCCTCACACACCTATTCTCAAAGTTTAAATGGGTAAGATCCACACACACACAGTTGCATCAGTTGCATCGGTTTCGTCTGTCCCGATCCGAACACTTCAACGGACTCCTCGGCCCTTCGACACGTTCTGCGAGCCACCGGGACCAACGTCATCCACAAGCCTATAGTGTTCCAGTTTCTGAAATCGAGTGTACAAGTGTGCAAGACCAGTCGTTTCAGCTTCACACTGGTGATAATGCCAATGGCATCCCCCGACTCACACATTTCGGGAGAAAGTGTGTCAACATGAATGAGTGTGACGCTTGCATTGAACATGCATAAATAAGAAAAAACACTAAAAATCCCACTGAACATGCACAATAACGCACCTTAAAAGCACTAACTCCCCCCCCCCCAGAAAATAGCAAACAAAAATGCTAAAGAACGCACGAAACACCACGGCCGTTGATGCACCGCGTCGTCCCCGTCGTCCGGTCGTCGCACCCCCATGGAGTGGCCGATCACCAGCAGCGACGAAGGGCCCGAGGGCAGAAGCGGTTCAGAGTTCAGGAGGGCATTGGCCTTGATCGAGTGCATCAAGTACCACGGGCCCTCACTTGGGCCATCAGTCGGTTCACATGACCCTCGGGAACCCTCTGGGACCGGCCGGTCCAAGTCTACGACCCAATGTGTCATTGGCCCAACCGGCCCTCGGTGTCATTGTTGAACCTTTGGTAAAGACACATGGAATGCCCGTGGCCTTTTCTTGAGAAGACTATTTTCCTGTACTAGGGCCTAGGGAGGGAAGATCCGTTTCTACAGGCAAATAGTTGTTCCAATTCTGCCCGCTTAGATCTCCCTCTGGCACGTCAGTCTACATATTACGTAGCTATGATAAACGGATATAAACGGGCTCAGTTGATCAGTTGATCTCCGAAAACATTGATTGAGGGATGGTTCGTGACCAGCAGTGTGACGAGCCACAATCACTGCATTGCCGCTGAGTGTGTACATCTGCAAGGGAGTGAGGCTGTCAAGCGCGCTTGCTTGGTCCTGTCAAGCTGTCTAAGCAGTTGAGTGGAGTCATTGAGGTCTTCAAGTTGAAGATTACTTCACCACTGCAGTGGCCCAAATTGAAAGAGTTTCTTTTCACCAATGGGATTCAAAATCACTGGGGTGTCAGGCCTTATACGGTGTGACATTGTTCTCTTTAGCAGGTACGAGTATATAACTTGATGGCCCTCCATCCAGAACCTCTTGTTCACTATGTTCCTTGACATGATCTTTCACTCACCTTTTCCTTGCCCATGGATCTCTGACTTTCTGCTCCTTAGGCCTCAGCAAATGGGCTGGCAGATCATTGCGCCGCAGCTGGCGGTGGATCTCCAAGGACGGTCTCCTCGCGTCGGTTGGAGTGATCAAGGTGTTCACCTGGTTACGCAGGCCCATCTCTGGAACATCAGGAGGCCAGGGCACTGGCTAGGCTCTGTTAGGTCGACGCCATCGAAACACCTGCGTTTGTTCTTTCGTCCCGGCGTCGGAGTGCGTTTGGTGCTTGGTTAGTTGTTGCGTGCACCCCTCAGAGCCATCCGGCTTAAAAATGCTCTCTTTCACGCGCCCGGACCTTCCCGCCGCACCGTTGGGAAGACTCCACCACTATGGCCGGGTCCTGGTCAGTCCAAAGCCCACTTGGTCTGGGCACAAGAGCAATGCACTGGGCAGTTGAGCCATGAGCGCGTCGAGCAAGTCCTGGATCTTTCTCCAAGGAAAGGGACTTCCAAGAAAGCTGGTGAATCTGAAAAAGGGCTACCACCTGAGGCAACAAAAGGGACAATACACGTAACATCACGTAAACATATAGTGCCTCTAGAAGCACCATTCCAGTTAGAGCACACTTGTTGGATAGTGAGTCATACTTAGTGGAGTTGGATTGCGAAAACAAAGTGCAAAGCAATTGTTGATTCATTGCGAAATGCACAGAACACCTCCCTTCCCGGGTTTTTGATGGTTCTGAAAAAAAACAGACAATCCAATGCTACTGGAGAACAGCCAAGACTCCTCATACGATGTGGCATTGGCTCCGAAACCATGGAAGCAAAGTACAGGCATCACATCTTCAGTGGAGTCAGGTGGACGGCGCAGCAGATGCACCGCGACCTTTCCTGGTAGATGTCGGATCGAACCTCAGCAGAACCATCGGTGGGATTGGAGAATCAGCTAGATGTCACCGTGGGGCATGGAAAGCAACCCATGAGACAGGCTCGGTGGGATTGAGTAGATTGATGAAGCCGAGGTCAGTCCTTGTTGCACACTGGCGGTTGGGGGCATAGGAATCTTAAACTTGTTGGCATCAACCTCTACCCTCCTGCAGATTAACATGGAGCCTGAAAACCACTGGGTGGTAAATGAGAATGGTCTTACATTGGGGTCCATTTTCACGGTATTATGTGAGTCTGCAGGCAGGGGTGTATATGTCTTTGAGATTCTTTGAGTATGTACATGTGCTGCAAGCCACACCTCTATGCAGACTACCCCTTGGACTAAGAAAAAGAACAAACAAGATACAGTACCTGGACAAGCTCCATCAGGCTATAAATTCAAGAATTTCACAGAAGCATGCGTTGCAGGGGTAACCATTTTCCTGAGCATCGGATGATTAAAATACATTGTGGATCATTGTGGATCATCATGGTCTTCGCACTTCGACGTCGCTTCCCAACCAAAGGGAGGCGTTTTCTGCTACCTTTCGGACGGAACCCCCCTTTTCGGCGCCCAGAATTTTGCCGTGTCGCTCGAGGCTGAAGGAAGGATGGACTCCGGAGGCAGCAGCTTGGGCCGCGCAAAACACATCACGGCGCACAGCTTCAGCACCGCGTGGGTCGCCCAGGCCTTGAGTGCTCCGTTGGTGCCGCTTGAATCGGTCGCAGCCCACACAGAAACGATCCGAACCCGGACGGAAAGCCCGGGGGAAGGAACGGAGTTTGGTGTCCAAAAGGACCTCTTTCTCATTGAGCCCAAGGTTACTCATCACCCACACATTCTCTTTCATTCTGCTTCATGTCGTTTCATTCTTTAAAAGTCCGAGACATTCAGTGTCCTAATGTTTCATGCCAACACTTTCCCTGCAACATTGAACTCCATCTGAGAGAACCGCAAAGTTTCCCTTGTCCATCAAACTCTTCGATACTTGGTCTTTTCAGGCAACTGCTCCATGATGCCTATGTCATCTTTGCGGCACCATGTGTGTTCTCTTCAAGACTGACCTTGGAATCCTGGTTAGCCGATTAGCCAAACTCAAGAGCAATGATGATTCGAACCAGTTGACAAAAAAACAACAAAAAACAATCTTAAGAAACCATTCCAAAAAAATGGCAACAGTCGAAAACATTGAGAAAACGGGCAAACATCGAGTCTAATCAAGTTCATTTTTGACAAATGCCGGGGCGTCGACATGATAAACATAGGACTCACGGAAACATTGATAAATCAAAGTGGAATGATCATGAATGATACTGAAATATGTGCCACGCGGCCCTGCCGTCAAACACAAACGTCAACCATTGGACCAAGCGGCATGGACCTTTTCACCTTTCAGCCAAGCGAAGCGACATCGATCTTGTCATCACAATCCAAGGGTGTTGATGCTTCATCCTAAACACTCCCCCAGCGTCCACAATTGAGAACACTCAAGAGTAAGTCTACAGGGAACTGGCATAAATAATGTATTTCTGGGAGAATCGACAAGGGCAACTGTTCCATGACATACAACAATAATCAGAGTCCACTTCTAACAACGAACATCCCGAGCAGAAGGAAGGACGATTCTGACTTTATATAGTTGCTTTCTTTATCTCAACTACTGCTTGGTGTTCTCTACCAAATCTATCTGCGCTCGACTGCGCTCGACCCTTCTCCCATCTCCCCTCGTGAACATCGTTTCTGTCTGCTCGACCAAGCGACGGAGCCCACAATCCACAAGGCGCTCAAACTCCAAACAAGCCTCGGTCTTCGAGCCCTGAGAGTCGGTCTCCGAGCCGGTCTTCGTGTTCGGAGCTTGCACTTCAGAATGGAAGCCGAGCGAGACCGCGGTCGGGACTGAAGAAACATGTAGGATTTGGAATACAAAGAGCATCACGGCTGGACTTTTGAATTCAGAGGGCTGGATTTGTGAAGGCGATCTCTGGCTCATCAAATCTGACAGTAGACCTCTGATGAATTTGCATCGGACAGTCTGTTTTGGAACTAACTCAGACACACACACAGACATGCGCGCTTGCACACACACACACAGTCACGCCACATCTTCGTATGCCTGGCATGTCCACCTTATCTATGATGGGCTTGGCAATTTCAAAACAAATGTTGACACTGGAGGGGAGTTGCCTGCAATAAAATGCTTTATGTCTAGGACAGGTATTTGCAGGTCGTTGCAAAACAAAGCTCGCCAAGCGACACAAAGCGAAACAAAAAACACACAGTCAATATGTCGTATGTGCCAAGAGTTGATAACTGTGTGCTGCTTCAAAAGTGGGACGGATATGCCTCCTTGGAAGCTGCAGCACTTTTGAGAGCTGGCAGCGGGCAGCCCAGCTATCTAAGTGACAAACCCGGAAATCTCCCAGAAAAATATAACTCTGCACACACGCTGAAACTCTCTGGGCAGCCCACCATTCCCCCTGGATGGACGGCACAAACCGGCCGCCGGCCAGCCCCCTTCTTCCGTGCCGCGAGGCCAATGGCTTCGCCCGCTACTCAGCACTCGGGCCGCACGCTGCCAGGGGCTTTGCCGGGCGCGCGCCAGCAAACCCAGCAGCGCAAAACTGGCCTGTCGGGGTGGGGTGACGAGAAGAACCAAACGCATAGTTGGAAGAATATGAAGGCTGATATGAAGTAACCCCAAAGAGCAAACATGCTAAATCTAGATGAAACCTATTGAAACCCCCACGACCCGTGCACCGAAAGCACCAGCTTCGAACCCCAAACAGCAGCTGTTTCTTTTGACCAATTTGGTTTGCAGTGCCCAGTTCCCGTGAGCCAAAAACACACGGTTTGCCGCTGGGTCATTGACGTGTTTAAGATGCGGTTTCAACATCCAAGGAGACGAAGCAGAATCATCTCAGCCCAGCATCCAAGAAAAGCCATGGGAGAGAGAGAGAGAGAGAGAGCGAGAGAGAGAGAGAGAGGCCAGAGCCAGAATTCATCTTGGCCAGGTTCGCTTCACTCACAGCAAAGCTGTTTGAGGAAAAACAGTAACCGACCGAGAGCATGCTCCACAAGTTGACGGTCGTGGCAGATTTGGTGCATTCCACTGTGCTAGAATCGGCCCTTCCCTTTTGTGCAAGCACAACCCTAATCATCAATCCAAAGCATTACAAGTACCAAATTGTTCGTGCAGTCTTCACAGATCGGGCAGAGACAATATCGATATACCATCCCAACATGAAGCACATGCAACATATCACATACATTGCACTTCATTCCATCCCTCCTTTCTTAGCAGTCTGGTGTCTCTTCAACTATATACCTGTATACTTTAATCGCTTTAATGGTGGAGTAGATGAGCACCCACCGTACCCACTGGGTGATGGGATGCTCACAAGAGACTTGAGGGACCTGCAGGACCAAACAAATTCAAGTCGCCTCACTCTGAGTGTTGGGGCATGCGGAATTGCCACACTTGCAGAAACACGAAATCAACATCTAATATGGATCTCCAGACTTTGTCCCCCAAAACACTTTTCACACCTTTTTGCTTCAGTGAGCTAGTTCATCCACCCATCTCATCCGATCTCCCATCTGGATGGCCATCAATGTGGCGCAGCGCTCCCACCGCTGCAGCGGTCGGTAGCCAAAGCGCAGCTGGCGCCCGTCGTGGGAGACGAGGTCGGACTCGCCTGAACGGGAGAATTCAGCGGGACAGGACCCCCACAGGGCGGAGAGCGAGTAATAGGCGGAGAGTAGCAAGAGTAGCAGTAGTAGCAGTAGCAGGTTCAGCAGTCGTCGAGAACGTCGTCGTCATCGTCTTACAATGCTAAATACAAATAGTCTTGCAGTAGAAAACAACACCAATCGCACCAATAGTCTATAGGCAAGGGGTGCACATCAACCCACTGGCAAACTGAGGGAATCCAACGCAACTTCCATGGGCACCTGCAGCGCCTCGCGCGGCTCGCATGCCTCGCGGCGCTGCGCAGCGCTGCGCAGGGCGCCGAAGCGTGGCCGGCCACATGGGGCCGCGGGCGACAAAGGTCCTGGGCACGCACACGTTGAAGTTCGGGATGCGAAACATGGAAGAACGCGCCATAGGGCGTTGCATCGGGTGAAAGAGGATGAACATGGATGAAGCATCATCATGAAGCCTGACAGTCGTAGAACTCCAATGTGCTTGGAGCTGTGGTCCAACTTGGAGGGTTGAAGTGAGCTAGGGGCCCCGCACATCTCTGAACCCCCCAAGACCTAAAAACTGGGATCGAAGACTCTTGAGATGTGGCTGCCCGCCTGGATTCTGAGATGTTTTGAGAAACGACATCAAACCAATGTTACTAGCCAGAAGCTGGATCTCCAAAACACGCTAAACATCCAGCCAACCCAGTAGCATGGTGACCAGCAACTGCCCTTTTCATCTATTTTCCAAAACTTTGCAAATGAGGCCCATGGGCGACCTCCATGGACCTCACCCGCCGTACTGGGCAGCAAAAGAGCTACACTCTTTTTTTCGGCCCCTCCCACATCACATGGAAGCGGAGTGGAACCCCGCTGGGCTTCGGTTGATACGGAGAAGAAACACAGGGTCTTCCCATTCAGGTGGATGTTCACATGGTTGTTCACATGGAATGTTCAGGTGAAACAAGGGGATGTTCACATGCTTCATCCAGGATTTTACAGATCCATCTGAGTCATGCCGGTTAAACGGCTTCGCCCAGTGGCCAGGCTCGCCGTCGGAGGCTGGGCGGAATCAGGCAGAAGTCGAAACGGCGTCCATTTGGGGTGGTGGAACCACACAATGCTTACGATGCTTGAGCCGAGAAGTGCTGGAAGTTCAGGAGGGTCCATGCTTCCACCAGCTGGAGAATGGATGAGAATGGTTGAACTTAATGATAACACGTGATAAAACACATGGTACATTGGGTTTTCATGAGAACTCAAAAGTAACATGAGCAGCGAAAACACGTCCCATGGATCCGCGTCAGAGAATGGCCGGCCTGCACGTCCAACAAAGGACCTTAGCAAGTAGCAAGGAGACGATCCCAACCAAAAACGCCTCTCAGCAGTGCAGCCTGTCCAACGTACGTGTCGGCTTCTTGAGGCGCGTTAGCACTGGTGGTGCACGTCCCGACGGCTTGAAACGGCTTGAGACGGCTTTCCGTCCCAAAAACCGCCGAGCTCGGGGTCCATGGGTCTATGGGTCTATGGGTCTATGACCAGGACATACCAGGACCTACCAGGACCATGCACCAAGTAGAACAAAACACCTTCAGATACTTGGGCTGCCTACCCCATAGTCTGGACACTAGTCTGGACCGTCTGCAGGTTTCATGCGGTGTCATCGGTCTGTGATCTCCGGAACAAGGATTCTTGAGGCGTACGGTGCGAGTGCCTCAATGACTCAACCTAGACATGCGAGCCCCAAGGCTCAAAACAACATTGGCTACTCCGATACTCCTGTCCTCTTGTGGTTCATCTACTCAACATCTACCTTTTCCCTTAGTGGGGGCATCCTGGTAAGATGTAGTACAGTAAGTGTCATGTTTGAGTGTGCATAAAAGTCGAACTGCTTGGTCTGCTGGTTTATCTATGTCTATCTTGGATGATTCGACGGACTGCGGCTACAAGCTGATTCAAAGGCTCTTGAAAGCAAAGGCTGTACAGCCGCTGCCCTTGAGATGCTCTTGACCACCACCAATTGCTGACCCTACGACAATACCTGCAAATCCCGTGAGGAACCCTCCTTCATCCGTTGGCTGGAGAGAGGGTGACACATCTATCTCTATAGTCCTACTCCAGTGTCACGCCCCGTGAAACAGGGCCAAACAAGACCCCCCCGGCTCGCGTTCCCATGCGCGCGCTTGTGCGCACGTGCCCGGCACGTGCTGGGCTGCCAGGCTTGGGCTTTTCGCGGTGCACCTCATCACCCAACTGCACCAGTTCTTGCAACCTCGGCACGACGGCCGGCCCGAGGTTAGGCACCATGCCACAATGTGTGGAATGGAACCCACATGCATTTGCCTGTTTCCAAGGTGTTGTTTTCTTTGGTCGCCCATGACTCTACCGGCCGCATCGCAAGGAACGATATTGGCATGGAGGACTACTGGAAGCTCCAGCTTCGTTCGAGCTTCCACCTCCTTAGTGACCTCCTCATTGGAATGGAGCATGGCGCAGCATGGCTGAGAATGATCCAGAAACTTCCCATTGCTGATCATGACGATTCATGAGACTGTCGCCGGGGCCTTCGGAATTCCCTCTGGTCTTGCCGAGCCCACTTAGACTGCAAAACACCCCCGGTTTCAATGGGCGCTCAGCAATGAGATGGACACAAGAATGAGGCACGAATAGTACAGCCTAGCAGGGGATGGCAGCTTGTGTGGTGGGGGGTTTGGATATGTCCTGATCACGACCTCTGGCGGTCCTTTTCACTGCAAACCTTCTTGCTGAGGGCTGAACCTGCTGGGCACTGACTGGGTGCGCGTCAAGCCCGAGGGCCTCGAGGGCGGCGCCCGGCCACCGGCAGCGGGCCCAAACAAGCTGGCCGACCCTCGTCACCTGGTGACGCCCCCGGCGATCCGGCGATCCGGCGATCCCGCGGCGCTCGAGCGTCGTCCGGGCGCTCGGGGGCGCTCGGTCCGTGGCAGGAGCCGTGCGCAGAACTCCTCGATCACACGGCCCTGCCGACGTGAATCGACGGCAGGGCGGAAGACGCGTGCGGCGAGCGGCGGGGCGGGACGAGGGGTGTCCGGCAGAAGTCAAGCAAAAAGGACCGGTGGAGTTCAGCGATGGCACAAGGGCCCTCAAGTTTGGTGGTTTATCTGGACCCCCCAGATGGATCATAATAGAGATTTAAATTCACACACTCATGGATATGCGTACTGATGTGAATGCGGTGCCACACGCCGGCCTAGGGTTCCATTTCCTAAGAAAACCAGAAGGGACCATCGAATCCTGGAGGTCTTAAAAGGAAAGGTGGCCCAAAGCGCAAGATCGAGGTCGGCGGGCAGGTCGACATGACGACGTGTCGTGCATGTCTGCAGTTTGAGGTTCTTGGCTTAGCCTCACGCCATGCAGAAACTGGAAAAGTTGCAGGTACGTCGACAGGACGTCTCCCGTCGATATCACGAGCAAGAGATAGGTGTCTTCGTTGGCACCTGCCCTATCTCTGCTCCAGGTGCCCCCTGCGGTAAAACAAATGCAAAAGCATCCCTATCACTCCAAGGGTGACACACACACGCCTCCCCGAAGGGAGGCAAGAACCTGTGCGCCTAGTAGTAAGGCCAGGAACCCCTAGAAGCACCAAAGTAGCGCCTAGTAGCAACCCACACTAAGGTCCTGACAGGAGGGAGGGGTAGGGAGGGAAGAGAAAAAGAAAGAGAAGAAAGGAAAGGGGAGGAAGGTGTTCCCAGCTACGACACAAGCGTCCAGGGACACACCAAAGGAGGAGAGGAAAAGGGTTCCCAGCTATGACGAAAGCATCCAGGGACACCCAAGGAAGAGGGAAAAGAGAGGGAAGAGAGAAGGAAAGAAAGAGAGAGGGAGAGAGAGAGAGGGAGAGGAGAGAAAGGAAGGTGTTCCCAGCTACGAACGATCGTCCAGGGACACACCGAAGAAAGAGAGGGGAGATCCTGAGTATTCCATTCAGGAAAACCCCAGAAAGCAAAGAGAGAAAGGGGAAGGGAAGGGGGAGGAGGGGGGGACTAAGCTCGCGACAGACTCCAATGAGCCTTGAACAGACTTTGGTCGCTGCGACCACGTACGGCTTGCCCGAAGGCTGCCACCTTTGACCGCTGCGGTCACGTAAAGGCATGAGCCAGCTTGGAATTCCAAAAATGAGACATAAATCATCGGACGTACGGCATTAGCCATCTACTGTCCGCTGTGGACATCTGCGTTCCCAAAGCCGGGGGAACATGGACGTACACCCGTTCGACGGGTCCACGGGAGGCACTCTGCGGGCTCATCCCGGGTTGGCACGAAGCCAAACACATTCATGGATATGCGTACTGATGTGAATGCGGTGCCACACGCCGGCCTAGGGTTCCATTTCCTAAGAAAACCAGAAGGGACCATCGAATCCTGGAGGTCTTAAAAGGAAAGGTGGCCCAAAGCGCAAGATCGAGGTCGGCGGGCAGGTCGACATGACGACGTGTCGTGCATGTCTGCAGTTTGAGGTTCTTGGCTTAGCCTCACGCCATGCAGAAACTGGAAAAGTTGCAGGTACGTCGACAGGACGTCTCCCGTCGATATCACGAGCAAGAGATAGGTGTCTTCGTTGGCGCCTGCCCTATCTCTGCTCCAGGTGCCCCCTGCGGTAAAACAAATGCAAAAGCATCCCTATGACTCCAAGGGTGACACACACACACAGGTTGGGGTTTAGGCCTTGATGAATGTTGATGTCCGATCCAAAGAGTTGTCAAATCCAAGGCGGAATGATGTGAATCATAAATCTCTGCCGTACCGTGCCATGTTCAAACACGTGCAAACCATCAGATTTGCGTAGATTTGCACCGACGCGCTTCTTTTCAAAGACTCTCTACCAGCGCAAGGCACCTCGCGCAGAGCTGCCGGCGGCGTCGCCGGTGGCGCGATCCAGGACGTCGGTCGACGGGAACCTGCGAGTCAGGCGTGGGCGTCTTGTGGATCCCGGGCGCGGGCGGGTCCGTGGGAGCAAGTTGGGAGCACGTTGCGTGGTGGATATACGGTTCATCCATGTTCATCCGGGTTGTTCCACCTGGCCACTCTTCGGATTCCAACACCAAAAAAGAGCATTGGGGATTGACAAATTGATGGGCTTCCAAAGGAGCCAAAGGAAACGGTTTTGCCTCCCTCAGAGTCCAAGAATTTCCTCCCCGTCCGAACTCATTCCTTGACCCGAGCACCAGGCCCTACCTCTCTCGAAGTGACCAAATCCCTTGAGGCCCTTGAACTCGCTCCGGGCAAACTCCTGGCATCTGACAAATCTGGGGCATGTGTAGTGGTCATCCGGGAATCTGTCCTGAACATTTTGCCCACGACTAGCTTGAAACTCCATGATAAACTGGCTGAAGGCTGAACATGGTTGCTTCTTTCAGACGTAAACTTGAACTTGGCTGTGTTTGAGCTTGGCCATGCTTGACTCAACGCGTGCTGACCAAACACTTTGAAGGCCACTTATAAATGACCAATGTCTAAAGACCATCAAAACCCCATGCTACTGACTTTGTCCTGATGCAAAAAAACTTGAACCACTCTTGGGCCATATCATGCCCTTATCCCATCCTGAGAGATCCAAACCTCTTCCGCTTCTCCCGCCCAGTTTCACCGTCCTGTCTCCGCGCGCCCGCCCCACGGCCGAGGCGCCGACCTGACGGATCAGCGGCCGAGGGTGATCGGTGCGTGGTGGCCGTTTGGGCGTGTCGAAACGAAGCACCGGACGTGAAGAAACGACGGCCGTTCGAACGGGAAAAGAAGAGAAAAAACAACAAAGGAAAACAACCTGATCATGACTCGTGATGCGAGAGCACTTGGGATGTGATGGTGAGTCAAACATCTACACTTCGTGAAACTGATGCTAAAGACAGAAGATGCAGGAAGGTTGAAGCGGGGGGTGTTAGCGTTGGGCGCCTGTCAAGACCAAACACTTTGTAGAGGCACATCGGAGCCTCAAGGAACAAATGCACAACAAATGTTCTGCACGAGGCTTCTCTTTTGCCTATAGTAAGTTGCCAGCACTTAGAATATGGACTAATTCAAACTTCTTGAATTAGTCATATTCAAATTGGAAACTGAAAAGAGTTGCTGCTAAATGCCTCGAACTCAGTTAGAATACAAACAGTACATCCAGTTAGAATATGAAGGATATTCAATTGTCGCATATCTCGATACAGTCACATATATACATGAGTCATACAAGTCATACATGCCAATTGTTCTTGAATTTTCTTCCATATGAGTGCATGTTTTGAGATTCTAACTGCAC